GGGGTGGGGGGGAATTGTTTGTTTGTTTGGTTGGTTGGTTGTGTTTTTTGTTTGGGTTTTTTCTTTTTTTGGCTTTCCTTGGCGAGCGAGCTCCGTGCCGGCGCTTCAAAGAGCGGGAGCGAGGTCTCGGACAAGTGCGTTTTATTTCTTTTTTAAAATTGGGGGCCTGGGGGTGGGGATGGGGGAGATCTTTTTTGTTTTTGTGTTTTTTTTTTTCAGTGAGTCACCTGCTGCTGCTACATGGCCTGTGTGTAACTGTCCGTTCGTTGCGTTGCCTCCGTCCCACTGCCGGCCCCTCGCTGGCCCTTTCCACACGGGGGGGATGCTGGTTTGGGGTTTTTCCTGTGCATTTGCCTCCCCCACCCTGGCTCTTGCTCTTTCTCAGGCCCCTCAGGGTGCACGCACTGACCTCGAAACCCCACGGCCCCTCCGGTACCGCGCTGAGGCTCTGCTACGCGCCGGGGCGCTGAGCCAAGCCATCGCCCTCGGCAAGGGACTGGTGGCCTCCCACGGCTGACTGGTAGCCCCCCTCAGAGCTGCTCTTTTTTGCTGTGCCTTCTTTCAAGGGAGGCATTTACATTAAAGGTGATCTCTATAAATAAGCCAATGGATGCATTGTTTGTTTGTCTCGTGCTGGGGTGTTTTTCGGCGATGGGAGAGCAGCACAGGAAGGAAAGCGAGCGGGAGGCCCCCACTTCCTGAGGGCTCACCTAGGAGAGGGGCCATTCCCACGGTGGTTCTCTGGCATGAGCGAGTGGCCATCAAGGTATCTTGTGTTCGATTTGCCGGGTGGACTTATTTTTTTGTTTTTTTTTGTTTTTTTTTTGCATGCAACAGGTTTCCAGGTTGCGCGTGAAACAGGTGGGTTGTGTTGAAATCGGACAGGGCCGTGTGTGTGGGTTCAGACCAGAGGTTCTTGGGGTGCTTGGGACTGCCAAACTCTGGGGTTTGGGGTCAGGTCAATACTGGGCTCCAGTGTGGTAGCAGGTGCCACATATGGTGCCTGCTACTATGGCTATCGCAGCTGCAACTGGTGTCCGGCATTGGCAGGATGGGAAATCCCTCTCTAAATTGCCCTGGAGAGGTGTTTCTATCCTGGAGAAACTCTGTGCATGGTGTTGCACAGTCCCGTTCGTCCTCCTGCCCTCTCTCCCGTCTCTGAATCAGAGAAGGACGAAACAAGAACCACAGCTGAGACCTCTCGTAACCATAGTGGTGCAAGAACTAAGGTGTGGGTGGATGGCTTAGCTTTGCCTGTCTGGTATCCAGAGAAGTCAGAGGGGCTGAAATAGGAAGGGAGAAAGGCAGATGTTTCTTACCAGGTTGCTTTGCAGGTTGCTTTTGATGAGCGGGCGCCTCTTTGAAAGGTCTAAGAAAGTGTTAAGTGAGCGATGGCGATGGTTGCCTTTGGTAGCCCATCGTCTGGTCAGGGCCAGTGAAGAGGGAGGCAGTTTTCTAGCAGGGGGAAGCATTAGAGGTTGAATTGCTGTGAGCCAAGCTGCCAGAAATCATCCAGGACTATCTAGTCGGATGTCCTCCACTTGCACTAGGGTGCACGATTCAAGCCAAGGTGGTCTCTGAGACTTGCTGCCCTGCCACCGTTACTGGCTTTTAGCAGAAGGCTTTGGTTTAACCTGAGATGACCTGAAACAAAACTCTCAATCTTCTCAGGGTGCTCTTCAGCTCCAGACCTTGCCTTATGGTTTGTGAGCAATGTGTTAAACCCCAAAGCTAGGTCTCAGGAGCCCCTGGCTACGTGGTAGTACCTTGGGACTGCATCCCTTAAGCGGAAGCTCAGCTGTTTTGCAATCCTGGAAGTTTTGATGGAAACTCCACTGGCTCAGGCACTGTCAGGAGATTTCAGGCACTCCTTGTCCCTGATGGAAAGAAAACATTCCCAGCAATAAAATTGGCTTAATTGCAATCAAGAGGAAATCCCAAAGTACAAAGACACAAAAGAGACCATAATCTGAACACAGCAGGAAGGGCTGAGCCTCCCAGGGAAAAGCGCTTGGGGACAGGTAGGTGGCACGCGAGGGTGTCCAGGGTCTTTTCCAGCTATAGACACTCAGGGGACACGGGGACAGGAGGTGGAGGACGGTCCTGAGGGAACAGCCATGGGGCAAAAAAGCACTAGAGACCCACTGCCACTTGCTGGGAGTGCCCGACCGCTGGGAGCGCCCGACCACAGCTCCCCTGCCCTGGGGCCCATCTCCGAGCTGTCCGTAACAGCCAGCTGAAAAGCTGGAGCCTGGAGGAGGCGTGGAATAGTACTTGAGGGAAAGAAGGGATGAAGAAAGGGGAAGGTGGGAGACGAGAAGGGGGATGGTGGCAGCGGGGCAGACGAGGAAGGTTGAAGGCCCAGCTAAAAGCTCGCTGACAGCTTTGCAGCGGGCTCTGGATGCAGCTCCAGCCACAGTATCGTTAGCAAAATCTGTCGGAGAGACTTGCAGAAAGGCCTCGGCCTTGGTCATTCGTACAAGAAATCAGTGAAGAGTTCTGTTCAAATTTTTGTTTTTAACTTTTAATGTCATTACAAACTGAAAACCAAACATGCTTTTGAATGGATGATTGATTGGAGAGAGCTAATGTAAGATGCATACATCCATTATATATATAATGCTTACATCGTATGTATATATAATGTTTGTGTGTGTGAGTATTTTATCTAGGCATAAGTAAGTCATGCTTTTGTTTTACCATTCCTAACTAATATAACTTGACTAAAAAAGTTGCTGCAGTGGGTTTGCAGAATAAAGCACTTTGAATCTCAGATTTTTTTTTTTCTTAGCACAGTCCAATTCGCTATAATATTATTTTATACACAAAATTTTTTTTGTTCTGTCTTTATAAACTATTATAAGTACTATTTTTGTTATAATTCAAAATAGATATTTAGTATAAAATTTTGCTGTTAAATATTTGTTATTTAGTAAAATATGATTTTTTTTTCTCTTTATTGTAAACATTGTCTGGAAAAATATTAATATGTTTTATCACAGTTGTTTTTAATATTAAAAAAAAGAAAAAAGCACTTGTGGGGTTTTTCGTTATGAAATTGGTGCCGTGTGAACATGTGTTTCGGTCATGTGGTTTTTAATATGTATATAATATTATGTGTCGCATATTAAAATGAATGTTGTGTATTTTGTGATCTTAAAAAAAAAAAATTCCATGTGGCTATTTTATAGACTTCCCTAATAAAAAGAGTGGAATCTCCACACCTTCTCTAAACCTTCTTTTATTTCATATCCCTTTGCATCTCTTCTTAAAGGGCTTGTGGCCTCCTGGTTTGGATTCTCGAGGTAACATCCCTGTCCTGGGAAATAGCTACCCCATATGTGGGATGTTTGCACTTGCCTTGGGAGCTGGTGGACTCTGTGGCTGGAGCAGTGGTCTCCACTGAGTGTCTCTGGGCCCTTTGCTCCCTTCCTCGCTATGGCCAAGACGGTGGCGGTGGCCGTGGGCAGGAGGCATAAACTGACATATAGGAAATTCCACTTAAGCACAAGAAAAAACTTTTCTACTGTCAGGGCGGTCAAGCCCTGCAACAGCTTGCCTAGAGAGGGTGTGAAGTCTCCATCCCAGGAGATGGTCAAAACCCAGTGGGTCACACAGCCCTGGGCAATCTGCTGCAGATGACCTTGCGTTGATGCTACTTCCCACCTCAGCAACCCTATGGTTTGGGGAGATCCAGGCCGTTCTTTTTTGCCCAGACCTTCCGCCTCTCCCCGATGTCTATCAGGGACGCAGGTGCTGGGCAGAACCAAGGAGGAGAGACAGGAGAGGAGCTCATCTCCAGCTGCACCTGGGTGTCAGCCATCGCCACCAGCTCCTTTGGAAGCTTGCACCATGCATGGGTGGGATGGGCCACCTAGGCCCAGGATAGGGATGCTGTTGCTGCAGTGAGGAGGACTATTTGGGGAGCTCCTTCTGACTGTTAGCTGCGCTTGGCCTTTCCTCATGAGCTAGGAGGCCACTATGGCTTGGAGAATATGCACCCAACAACTGATAGCATTAACAGACATCTGCTGCTGAGTGTGAAAAGCTTATACAGGTGCCTGCAGCGGGTAGGCAGAACACACCCCCAGGGTAACCCAGGTAGGAAGGACCCCATATCCTTGTAAAGCATGGATTGGCAGCAGCGGTACTGCTGGTTTAGTGAGAGCAGGTGGTTTGGCCCCCGCCCTCCCTCATCTCGAACTTGGGCTGCCAAGCAATCCATGAGCAGGGCCTCCTTTGAGCCTCTGAAACCCAAAGGTTTTAGGAACTTCTGGCCTTAAGTCTCTGTGAACCAGGTGGTGGGAGGAACTGCTTTGCATGGGATGTGGCAGATCATGGACAAACTGCTAGTGGTATTACTGCTGCACCAGCCCTGTGCTCCAGAGTGGGTTGGGAGGACTCAAGTGGGTCATTAGGTAATTAGTTAAGTAATTAGCTTCTGTCTCTGTGCTCTTCTCCCACTAAAGGAAGCTCTGTTGTTGCCCTGGCTGTAGTAGGAGTGTTGGAAAGCAGAAGGCTGCTGCTCTGTGAACTCTTCACATGCAAAGGACAGTGAAGGCCTGAGGA